ATGACCAATAATGTTCAAGAAAATAGCCAGCTGCTCCTCTATCATAACACCTGCAGTATCACGAAGCATGCCTCTTTGTCTGAGAATGCCACATAGATTGTGGAATACATGTTTATCCATCCGAAACATTTCCCGGCATCCATCATCAGGGCCATCCAGCACTTCAGACATAAAACTACTTCCATAAGGCGACGAACCATGTCGAGGTTGCCGAGTTATACTGTTATAATAGTAATAGCCGGCAGCGGCCGCAACTAATTCCATATTGTCCAATTCTAAGTCGAAGTCTTCCATACTAGCCAATGTATCTGTAGAAATTGGATTAAAATGGAGAATAGACAACACAATGCAAGAGGTTAAACATATAGATAAATAAAAGTAATTTCTCTTGAATGTATTTCTACTTTGCATATTGACCTTCAAAGACAAGCAAGCAGCCCTAGAGACCACATCATGCAGCCAAATTAACCGTAAATTCACGGTTATCTATCATTTAAGAAAATTAAACTGACAAAACAGCCATCAATCATGAAGTCAAACTAGTTTTGTATGGGGTTTCTTCAGAGTACTTTGTCCGTACATAGCACAACCATAATTAGTAACCATGGAAAATACAAAATAAAAAGTGGTCAATCAAACCTAATTCAACTAGGGGTAGCACTGCACTTTCCCTTCAACCATGGCAACCTTTTCTCACTCTTTAGTGAGATAAATATCTCCCTGGCAATGGGTTTCTCAAATAAATCCAAGGCAAGAAAGTAAATTTGTTGATCAACACCTTGCATCTCATCCAAGAAAGTAAAATAATAAATAAAATTATTTATATTATAATTAAATTAATTTAAAAATTAAATTAAAATTATAAAATCTAAATAAAAATAACACATACGATCGCATGATGATTTTAAAAAATCAGTAAGAGAGTAATGATTGCATTGAGGACAATTTGCATAGTGGTGAGTAATAGTTGCATATACGACAAAGAATGCACAAGGATTTGTGCTAGCGTTTTATTTCTTCAAAACAAGCAGAATTGTTTTCAAAAAACATTTGGATTGCTTCTCTGACAATTATTTAAATTATTCAATATTTATTATAATTTGTTTTCTCTTTTTTTCTTTTGGGTGGATGCTTTCCTGGAAGGAGAAAGAGGTCTATTATTCAGGATTTACGTTTTAAAAATATTTTTAAATTTTTTATTTTTTATTTCAAATTATTTTGTTATATTTTTGGATTATTTTGATTTAAAAATAATTTTAGATAAAATAAAAAATTATTATTTTAATATATTTTCAAATAAAAAATGTTTTAAAACATAATTGCTATATTCTCAAACACGTTTGCTAACTTGCTATGGTGGGAGGAGATAGAGTCATGGAGGTGTTACGGTTTTAGAGAGAAGAATATGTTTTGGCTAATGTGGGAAGCTTTGACTGCCTCGATGGTGGTTGGGGGTATGGAAGAGAAGTTATCGCTGATCTAGTTGAAGGGAGAGCGATTATTATGACTGTGTGAGGGTCGTGAGGAGACCAATATGTTCTGATTTCTTTCTTTCTCTCCAAGATTATCAACTCAACACCCAAGATATGAAAAAAAAAAAAAACATAGGAAAAGAACATTATATTATACATCACTCTCGGATGGGTGGTGCTTTTATTTTTCACAAAATACTATTTATGCTCTTATATTTTACTGTGATTACAATAGTGTAATTTAAAAAAAATTAATTTAATTCTCTAACTTTATTTTTTAAAAAATTAATTTAATTCTCTAACTTTATTTTTGCAAAATTAAGCCCTTTTAAAATCAAATTAGAGCCTAATTGCATGTTTTTGTTTACGGAATGGTTGAATTAAAAGAAAGTGGACTGAAGTGAAAATAGCGGGTAACATAGGTGGCAAATTAAAAATTTTTATTAAGCATTCATTTGAGTTTCCTATTTTACATCTTGCAAATTTCAATTGTGGTATCGCACTTCATTCTTCCCATTCTTCAGTTTTTTTGGTTGGAGAAGAGAAAGGACGTCGCTAGATTCTAGATTACAGAGAGTACGTTTCCATTTGTGACGAAATTGACCATAACATGTTTTTGTCAAATAATTTCATACGAAGAGGTGAATTAAAATTAAATGTTTTTTTTACCTTAAAATACTTAAAAAATCATATTTAAATCATAGTTATTAAATAAGTCTCGGGGGTTGACCCGGTCAAGAGATCGGGTTCCGGGTTTCATGGGTTAACCTGAAAAAATTTTAAAAAAATTAATATTTCATATAAAAAAATTTAAAAAAAAATCCATGTAAATATATACTTATATATTATAAATAATAAAGTTTAAGAAAATATTTTTTTAAAAAAAATTATTCCATATTATAAAGTTGTTATGTTAAGCTTTTAAATTGAATTATTTAAATTAAAAAAGATTTTTATCCTACAGTGAAAAAATACATTTTTTTTCTTAAGAACATAAAACATATATACTAATAAGTTTCAATCACATATTGAAAAAATATTTTTTTTTCTTGTGAACATTAAATATATATAGTAATGGGTTTCAAATCCTACATTGAAAAAATAATTTTTTTTGAAACTAGAGTATGTATAGTTATATACAAAATGACTTCAAATCTCACATTGAAAAAAATATTATATTATCTTTTTAAGTTGAAGTATTTAAACTAAAAGATTTTTTCATTCCACATTGAAAAAACATAATTTTTTTCTTGGAAATATAAAATATATATACTAATGAATTTTAAATCTTACATAGCTTGGCTAGGTCGTTGCACCAGCCAGTCTTTTGGCAAACCTAGACCGATTCAGTTATCGGGTCAATCAGGTCCCAGGTCGACTTGTTGGGCCAGTCCATGTTTAATAACTATGATTTAAGCTTGAGATTTTATTTTTTTTGCTTCGAGTGGATTTTGAGTTTTGCAGTGGATTTTTGCTCCTTTTTTTTCCACAAATTGATTTAATAAGGTCTCTAGTAGAGGTGAGGAAAAAAACCAAAAAACAAAACCAATAAAATCGAGAAAACTAAAAAAAACTAAAAAAAACAAACCTTAAAAAAAACTGATTAGAATAATTAAAATAACTGATTGATTCGGTTTCATAAACCTAAAACTGAAAAACCAAACCGAACTAAATCAAGAAAAAACCAAGCCAAACAAAAAAATAATTCAAACTGAAAAAACCAAATCAATTGGGTTTTGGTTTTTGCTCTAAAATAACCGAACCAAAGCTGATCGATTTGAACCAATTTTGATTCAATTTTAATTTTTTATAAAAAAATTGGTTCGGTTAATTTTTAGATAAAAATCAAATTAAATCGAAAATAATTATCTCTAGTCTCTAGGGATGTTTCCCAGGTGTTTTGGACAAAAAAAAATGTTGAAATGAGTTTTTAAATTAAAAAAAAAAACTTTAATTTTTTTGGTCAGCATAATACAAGATTTTAGAGATGAACAGAAGTGTTTTCTAAAAAAAGAATATTGTTTTTTTGGTTACCACAATGCCAAATTTTAAGGATGAATAAATAACATTTTCTTTTTGTCTCGTTAAACTTAAAAAAAATATACACTCAGACTAGCCATTACTTGATTGGATAAAGTGCTAGACATGTAGAGGCCCATTAGCACTTAGCCTGGTATTTTTTATATAATTTTATTTTTATATTTGTTGATTTTAAAAAATATATATATATTGAATTTATGTTTTAATTAATTTGTGATAATTGTTTTAATGATATTTAGTTCTTTAAATGGTAGGTATGATCCTCCCACATTTTTTTTTAATTTTATATAAATTAAATTTTTTAATATTAATTTTTTTATAAAGTTTTTTATATGTACAACATTGTATTTTTTATTCAATAAATTTTATGTGTTGCCTTTTACTTTAATTTTATGTGTTTTTCTTTTCTAAATTTATTTTAATAAAAAAATTAATCAAACCCAACAAGATAAATTATCTGTGTTGCCAAGAAAATCATAAAAAAAATTGATAGCACTCACAAATAAAACTCAATTTTCTATCAAATTTATTTAAAAACTGTTATTTATGTGTAAACAATAGAGTTTATGTAGAATACTTCAATGTGTTATTCTTCTCCGACAGGAGGCAATACATAGATACAAATTACAATTACTCCTAAACATTAGGAAACAAAATAGGAGAATAAAGAGATAAACAGGAAAGCAATTCGTTCTTATATATATTCAAGATTTATCAACTAATCATGTCTCTAATATTAATTAGAGAATCAATCTAAAATTGCATGCAACTCATGCACACATTATGTCAGTAACTAAACTGTAATTTTTTGAAATTCATGGGAGAAATCGTAATTTTTCAAAATTCATGAACTAAACTGAAATTTTATATCTTCAGCATCTAAACAAATTTTCCAGCATTTTAACATGATTCTTTCAATTTAATTCTTTAATTATTCACTATTTTCGATCAAACATTTCTAAGGTTTTACGCAAAATAAATAAACATACATACATATATGCATATCAATTATTCAGAATCATCTACTAATTATTCATAATCTACCTTAATGTGTTCATATGCAAATATAATTACTCATCCACAAATTAAAGCAACAAACCCCAAAATTATCAACCAAATCCCATAAACCCTAAAATTTTCAATAACCTTATAATACAGAAATAAATCGAAATAATACAATAAAACAATGGAGGAACATAAATAAAAATTAATCAAGACAAGGGCACCCCTGCTGGGAAAAGGGGGCAGCACAGCTGCGGATGGTGGTGAAGGAAATTGCCAAATTGGTTGCTGGGTCTGCGGGAGCTGCTTCTTCTTTGTTGTTGGTAGTCGGTCGAGGGAGAAGAAGACGTTGTTGATGGGGGAAGGAGATGCTGCTACACAGGGAAAGGGACAGTGTGTGGCTGGTCTGTGGGATCGGTAACAGAGAGGGAAGAGTGGATCTGTTCTGTGCTGTTTATGTTTTTAGGGTTGGCGGTTGGAATCAATGGAGAAGGCTGCGAAGGGAAACGATGGAGGTTGGTCCGGTAGAGGACAGAGAAACAAGGGCGAGGTTATTTTTCTGAGGGGGCGACGGCGCCTGTTCTGGCGATAGATTTAAGGTTTTGTTTTTATGCAGGTGTGTATGAGATCCCTCTTCTCTCTTTGTTTTTTAAGTGCTACCCTGGGGTTTTTTTAATGGTTTTATTTTATGTACTATATCAGTATTTATAATACATGAATTCTATAATATATGATACAAAGTTCTAAATAATTTTTTTTAAAAAGAATTTAAGTTTCATTAAATATTAAATTTAAAAATAAATAATTATTATCTTGGTAAACTTTTTAAATCAAAGATTATGAGAGAATGATAAAAATACACTATAGTCTTTAATTTTTTTTACAAGTTGACAAATCACATCTTTAATTAAAATTAATTTATAATCTTTTAATTTTAAATTTTAATTCCTTTAAAAATAAATAAAATTGAATGAATAAAATTGAGTTATAACAATATTAATAATAAAAATAAATTTAAATAAAATATTTTATAAAATAACTTGCTATAACACAACTATGACCAGTAGTTTATGCACATTGCATTCCCAAAATTTTTGAATTTTTTTTGTATAAAATTAAATTTTTTATATGGTTTGAATCATTTTGATGTGCTGATTTAAAAAAAAAAACATCATTTTGATGTATGTTGATATGAATTTTTTTTGAAAAGCAACTGCAACCACACTCCTAAACAAACAAACTAGTAATTATATACTTGGAGAATCACTTTTTGAAGGTAATTAAAATATATTTATTTTATCTCTTTGTTTTTGTTTTTTTGCATTACTTGATTCTTTCAAGTAAATAGCATGTTGATTGTTGAATTAGTGATAATTTGTTGTTAAAATAAAATAACTAATTGAATTCGTTCTATTATTTTTATCTCTTCATTATAATTTTTGGTTTGCGTCATTAATAACAAAACCACGAAGATATTAAAATTCAAAATGGACAATATATAATATGTTGGGTTAGGTTAGTAAATTTAATATCAGAGCCGAGGATAGCTCATCTTAAGATGGGGATTGTGATATACTTTATCAAAAACAAACGTCTAGAATCAGGACTTTATGAATAAAGCTGGTTGATAACATATTGTGTATATTTTGAGAGGTTAGGTTAAGAATGAGGTTTATGTCATCAAAAACAAAATGATAAGGATAATAAAACTCAAAATAAAAAATATACAACATGTTAAGCTGGGCTATTATAATTTTTATTTCATCATTTGATTCTTCCAAGTATACCTAATATTTGTTTCATTGTTTATTTATTTGCTAAAGTTAAATATAGAAAAATAATTAAAATTAAGAGAAAAACGTATACTGTAATGTTAAATCTCACAAAAGCTACAGGGTCCCACCCAACTACACCTAACCTATGTATATTCAGCTGCATCCTTTCTCCTCGCCAAAAAAATTTAGCCCGGAGATATTTCATCATGGTGAACAACGAGACTATAACACTTCATTCACTATTTTCTTGCAGTAATCTTATCTTTAACTTATATAAAACCTTAACATATCTCTTGCCACAGCTTGCGGACAATGAGAACATTACCAAAAGCACAAAAAACTTCGCTACTAAACTTGCCACCTTTGCGGACAACGAGAACATCAACTTGATTTTGTTTTTCTGAAAAAAAACAAGGGCAACGGTTGAGAGGCATATTTTAGGGTAGTAGGTTTTTGTGTTTTTATTTTTTTTCTTATAGGACTTTTTTGGAACTTGCATATAGGTTGACCATTTTGATTCAAGGTTCTACATCACCGCTTTGGTGATTCAAATTTTCTGTAGTGTTTGGTGATAGTTGGTTCTCAATAGTTAATTTCAAGACCTGGTGTGTGAAAAATACTTGAAAATTCTTTTATTTAATTTATTTTGTTTGGATTATAATTTCTCAAGTTTTCACACTTATTCTAAGTGTTTGACCCTTAAAAAAACACCCTTTATGGTAACATATATAGCTCTAATCATAATAAAATGACCTCTCTTGCGTAAGATCAATGCAACCATAATCACTTGATATTTGATTTTGAAATTCTCCATTCTAAAAGAGGTGGCTATGATAAAAGGAAATTAAAGGCCTTTAGACAATGTGTCTCTCCATGTTTTAAAGGCAAAAAGGTCTTTAGTCTTGAACTAGCAAGGGTTTCTGAAGAAGAAGTTGAAAATTAGAACCAATGCTATAAAGATGTTAGAAGCAATAAACTTAGAGGAAGGGCAGGAAATTGTCACTAAAACATGCTACATTGGAACCAAACCAATAACAATAACTCATAAATTTTTTCATTCTCTGTAAGTCATATTTTACCTTTATAACCTCAAATATGTTAGGATTAGTCAAAAAATAGATATTCATAAATTTCAAGATGAACACAACATAGTTATAATACCGAATTCAATTCAGTTCTAGATGTGAATGAATCGAGTAGATAAGTCAACCTAAATTTTAATTTCTTTATTTTTTTTTACAAAAAAGCATGTTTTTTAAAGAAAACAAATCAACACAATATTGTTTTAGTTAAAAAAATTTAGTTAGAAATAAAATTCAATTCAAGCAGAGTTTTATAACAATAACATAACGATTAGATTAAAAAATTATAACTATTTACAAGTTGTATTTATTTTATGTGTATTATTAAACTAGATTAGAGATGTCGTATTTAACACTTTTCTTTGATAAAGTTGTGATTATGGCTTTTAAAAAGCTATAAATTATAATTTTTAAAAAATAATATAAGAAAAGAGTTGTGATATTAGCTTTAAAAATATTATCAAACACTGAAAAATCATAACTACAACTAAAAATTAAAGTCACATCCAAATCTTTAAACATGCACTTAAATATTTGTTTGATAGTAAATGCTATTTATTTTTATAAAAATATTGTTAACATTATAACACATAAAATAATATGTTTTAAAATTAATTTATATCAATATATCAAAATTATTAAAAACATTTAAAATACTATAAAACTATTTATCAAGAAACATACAATAATAAAACAATATAATTAATAAAAAGTAAATAAAATATATAAAAACAATGAATATTAGGGGATGAAGAGAAAACACTTTTATTTCATGTGAATTTATAGTTATATATTTGTCTGCTATTTCTCAACAATGTTGCATATATATATATATATATACATATATATAAACACTTATAAACTTAAATGTCATAAGAATGTATAGATTCAATTTTTTTTAAAAAATTTCAAATGAATTTAATGATGATAAATGAATATAATAATAAAAATGTATAGAAATACATTTAGATATCCTCAACCACCTATAATGTATACTTTTATAACATATAAAATATTAATTTAATTAAAAAAAACAGCTTAAGAAATACTTTAAAATTAGACTAAATCGCATAAACAAACGCACACAAATTGCACAAATGAAAATTAGCACAAATTAAACACAAGGAATAAAAGAGAATAGAATCACAAAGGAAATTACCAGTCCACCGTCATGCTGCCCTTTAACATTTCTTAATCCAAAACTCAACTTGTCATATCCGCTTGCGATCTTTTGCAGCAACTAATTATTTTTACTGAAAGAAGGTGACTCTGTCTTGTTTACAACCTTTGTTTTCTTGATTTTTTTTTACTGAAATAAAAAAATGGCTTTGATGGAAACATTTTATCTCTCACATGGAGCCCCAACCCTTGCTATTGATGAAACCGCACCAGCAAGCCAATTCTTTAAATCATCGCAACAAAGTGTGTACAAAGAGAAACCGAGTTCCATTCTTGTTATTTCTGTTCACTGGGAGACCGAACCTACCGTTAGTGTTGTTGATCGAAATGATACCATTCATGACTTCCCCAAGCCCTTGTACCAGGTACCCCATGATCATTTCTTTCTTTCCTTCAAAGTGTTTTGCTTTTTGATTCTTTTGACTATTTTGTTATCGGGGTGATCTGATTTCAGCTTGTGATGAGTACTTTTGGAAATTAAGACCATATGATTGATCATATAGCTAGGGAGATTAATTAACTTTTTATTGATTTTTTACCGTTTAAATTGTGATTAAATGGTTAAACATGCCCGTGTCTATAATTAGTTTCTGGGATTTGGAGGCACCCTTGAAGCTAGCCACTATTGATTTGTTGAACTGAAATGATTGTTACGTCAAGAATTACATTTGAATGATGGCTGATGAGTGAAGGATGATTCTGTAAAAGAAAACAATATCTAATCTACTATGATTTCTTAGATGTTATGATTTGTCTTGAAAGTAAAGACAATTTATTACTTAAGAATTATAATCGATTATTGATCTGAACAGAATAGCTCATAGGAGGTTCTGCTCTAAATAAAACCGAATGGAGAAGATGCACTAATGATGCGGTTGAAAGTGCTTTACCTCTGAAAACACACTTTAAGCAACAAAAGCATGAAAATCATGTTGAAAGTTTGTGAAAATAATGATGTCATATATGTAGTCTGAGTAGTTTGGGTTTTGGTTGAAGACTAGCCAACTTTGAAATGGTGTGTGAGATTAGCCTTGTATAATTGATTTTGCTGGGATAAATGTCATGCACAATCCATATCCATATTTGCACAACTGAATCACAAGGATGCAAAGACACGCTCCAAACAAGATAACTAGATAAAAAAACCCGACATGCTTGAACTGTGCTCTTTTGTCGAAGGTCAAGATGACAATACTTCCTTTAATCGTATATAGCTATATGATAAACTTATATGACTTACGCTCTTAACTTTTTCTTGCTAGTATTGCCTTTCTACAAGTGTGTCCTTACCATTTATGCTTTTCTTGTGTGGGCTTTTAACACTGTGACCTTGACACGTGCCTTAGGCTACACCTCTATGCTGAGAAATAATGTTCGTTCACGTGCCTTGGGATCTGAATTGGTTGTGGTTACTGTGCTGAGCGTTGCTGCATCATGAAGGTGGTGGGAAAAATTTCTCAATTGTAGTTTTAGCCTCTATTTTTCTGAAATTTATTGAGAACCTTCAGAAATGTCTGAGGGTGTCACAGCGACATTGCTACTACCTTTTTCACTAATATTTATTGCTGCCTTTTCTTTTTGTTGCTTTTTCCTACAAAATCCTAGTCAAGAAATGCCTTCAATCATGGTCATTTCTGATTTCTTTTTTATTTCAGAAAGGAGGTGGAACCATTGATCTTGAGCCCTGTCTTACACATACATCAGCAGTGGAACCTGCTCTTGCTCCCGTGGCTGTTGAACAGACAATGATTACCTGTGCTGCAGCTTCGGTATGACATAGCCATTTTCTTCCATTACCCTTTGAGTTTATGCTCTTACTCTTCACTTCTCAGTGTGTTGTACCTATATCCTGTTTTCAGTTTTTGATTGAGCAAATGTTCTACTCAATTAGTAGAATGGTGAGGTAGAGTTCTGGGATTTCCATTCATCTAGCATCAACACAACTTGCTTTCAAATGTATTTCACACAAAGGAAATTGTAAGTAAGATGAGAAAAGTAAATCTTCTTACTGTTAATTATTGTAACAGGAGGTTGGATAAGATTTCCCTACATAAATCTTATTTGATTTTTCTTGCTTGATGTGTAATACATCTTGTTTGAAGGATGGGTCTAAATCAACAGGGGCCAACATAATTTAGCTAATTATCAGGACTAGTAGGTTTAACTAATTATTCATAACAAAATAACTGAAGATTTAGAAAAGGATAATCTGTTTTTAAAATTGAAAGGGATGTTTTGTTCAATTATTTTTCAGATTCCCACTTTCAGATATTATTATATACAAATTAATATGAGCCACCTTGATGATGAAATAAAGGTTTTGTATGAATTGGAAAGGATGAATCAAACTACTGAACTCAGAATTAACTGTTATACAGTGAGTGAACCTGAATTGCGAGGATGCTGACTTCTGCATCATCCTTAATACGTATGATGCACCTTAATAAGGAATTGAAAGTTTTGTAACTACACTGAATAAGTAAAATAACTCAACTCGACAACAAACTCGATTGGAAAGATGATCCTCACAGCGCCAAGTATTGACCTGCTTGCCTGTGGAGGATGATATCTCTTTCAGACAATCAAGTGCGCAGTAGTAGATTCTGTAAAAGTCTCATCCCTTGGATTGTTATTTCTCATCCAGGTCTACATATCAGATTTGCTGTCAAGAAATCATAATATTACAAAATTTCCGAGTAAATATGGAATGGAAGCACAAACATGACCCATTAGATTTCTAAGTATGGCCAATCATAATCACATTATCTCCTCATATTTTGGGTGGTGGTCACCGTTATTTGCATTGCTTATTTAAACTCACTGTGTTTGGTTCTCACAAATCAAATGTATGTTTCATGGTACCTGTTCCCACAAGTGCCAAGTTACAACTGCTATATGCATCACAGACATGCTTCTTGTCCCTTGTCTTTTATGATTTATGATTTCACTTATTTCATTGATAATTGTATGTTTTTGGCTACTAATAAGAAGGGCTAAACTATGTCTGTCTAAGCACTTTTTTTCTGTTATTTGGATCTACTTACGTTATGATGACTTCTCTCTTTCAGAATGCTTTGTGGCAACAGAGATTTGTACACGTAGTTACAATACAGTGCAACCTTTGCAACGAGCCCTGGTAGATTCTAGATCTTTTTGATAACTATGATTTCTGCAATTTTTCAGATCTCAACTTAGATCTCATAAAGATTTTATTACATTTCCACCAGACAAATTCAGTTATCTTTGCTGTGCTTTCAGTAATCGTTTCATCTTATTGTTTCGAAGTTGATAGACTTTTAGGGAATTATTCTTATTTTCTATATGGGATTTTTCTGGTCTATCAAAACTAATAGCTACCAAGTTTGTAAAGGCTTTTTATGTTTTTATGCTTAGCAACACTTTCCAGATATCCTCTATTTCTACATCTGTAGTAGCATTAGTTTACTACACGTGCCCTAACCACCCCAGATCTATTATAGTTGTTCTAACATTTCATTCGATAAACTCTCCACAGTTTCCAACCAATAGACATGCTTATCTGAAGTTTGGAATGTTTCCATGACACAGTTTAGTGGAGTTTAGAATGGTCCCATGACATAGTTCATTAAGTGTTTATCTTTTTTGTTCATCTATGAGGGAACTAATTTTCATTGCCTTGCAAGGTGTTTGCACTTTTCCAATTTTCTTGTCGCTGCTGTTGTCCATTAACTCTCATATTTCTGGACTTATATGTCAGTGAAATGATTAATGTTTCAATTTTGATGCCTGCGTAATGTATCAGGATAAAATACAGCATTAGTATTGTTGCTGACAGGGTCTGAAAAAGCCTCTCTATACTTGTACACGTTTGAAGAAGGGGGAAGTTCTATATTTAGAAACACATTCATGCAGGTATCCCTCTTTTTTTTCTCCTGTGTACCTTCTAACTTGATACTGCTCGGAGGTTTTGGAGGCACATTTTATTGTCTTATAGTAAAATTGCTTTAGCTTCAGTATTGTATGGTTTTCATTTCTTTCTATAACTTGCTTTTTTGTCTTAATAGTAAAATTGCTTTAGCTTCTGTATTGTATGATTTTCATTTATTTCTATAACTTGCTATAAGTTGCCACAGAATTTCTTGATGATGACTTCTGTAATTTCAGGCATTATTTGTTTTCTTGTTTGCTCATGCATAGAAAACAAAATTATATTTTTTTTATATATGTAAAATATTTAGTAAACGGGCATTTTTTTTTTCAAGTCTGAGGTATTGAAATCATGAAGTTCATCTGGTGAATTCTTAGTGATGTTCTGATTCTGAATTTTTGATTTCTTATGTGAAGATACGAGCTCTGTTTTACAGGAGAGAAAATGGGAAAGTGACACAGGCTTCTCACTCAGGTGCTTGAAGAGACAGATAAGTTCCACAGTCACCACCCACATTCCTCAAACGGTGAGAAGCACGACTGTGATAATGTTCTTTTTTATGTATTCCGGTGGTCTCGCTGTAAGAAACCACAACCACAGAAGGTCATGCAGTCAGTTGGGGTCCCATTGGGACATGTTGAGGTACTTCATTTCAATTTCTTCCCTTGAAACATCTCTTCATATTTAAATGTTAAAGTTTGGCATATTTTCACGAAGCGAAATAAGGAGACTGCAGAAGAAACTCGTATTGTCAGCTTGTAGCTACGTTTTTCTTCAGTTTCTTTCTCTGACTGCAACATCTGTGATTTTGAACAGTTTTTCTCCCTTCTAGGCTGACTGCAACATCTGTGATTTTGAACAGGTGTTGGAGGAGAATCTTGACTGGGAGGATGTGCACTGGTCATAAACTGGTGTTTGGATTGCTGGAAAAGAACACGCACTTGCTAGGGTGTGCTTTCTATCTCCAGGTTAGCTATGGCTTCATGAGTATCTACAAATAGTTGTGTAACAATGTGATGTATGCAGGAATAATAGTTGGTTTTTAATGGTTTTATTTCTTAAATAAGTCAAACAATTGAAGTTAAATCTCTTTTCTTTTCAGTTTATAAAAAATCGACTGGACTACTCTATCCGTACCAGAGTATTTGAGCAACCAAAACAGAAGCACTGGAACTTTGAATATTGGGAAATCTGGCATTTCTTCCATGTATATAAATCCATTACAAGCAATCTAATGACAAAAAGGAAAGCATCTTTCTGCAATTTCTATTTCGATTGAACACCATAATCTCTTGGCAGCAGGATGGATGAAAAATAAATTATCTGTATCCATGCTCTCCTGCCTGCTTGGAACACCATTAAAAAACTAGCAAGAATAATGAAATTCAACACAAGCTGATGATCCCAGTTCTTTGCCAAAAGCAAATAGTAACAGCAAAGTCAGGGTCGGTTAAACCATCTAGCTAGAATTCGTGTGTTGAAATACAAAAAACTATCAGGGAAACGGGAGATCACGGAGACTAAATCTTGATTAGAACATTCCAACCCTCACATCAATTCGGTTAGATTAAATGATAATACAAGCTTACACAATCCCACAACGCAAGTCTACTCAATCACTGCTTTAATTTGCCAATAATCTCAAAGCACGAAACCATAACAAAAATGGTGAATGACCAATTAAGATTTAAAGATTTGATCTTATTTTAGCTTTTACAAGAACGAGATCTCATATAACAACTGACATTGATCATCTTAGTATATTTTTCACTCCGTAGAGCTGGTGCAAAAGCCAAAGGATAACTGTGCCAGAGGGGGAGAACCCACTCTTACAAGCATGTAGTTCCGACTCCATGTCAAAACTTACGATCCATGCTAGCTGCTGGCCCGAGCCCCTCTTACAAGCATATATTTCTGGCTAATTGATTTTCTTAGGAGTTTCTATCTTCATCTATTGTTCTCGCGGACTAAAAAATAAAGCATATGTTCGATGTAACAGTAGAATCAGTATAATGTACGTAAACATGTTGAATAGTTAGTGTGAATAAATAAAGCAGGTGATTCATGAAAGTGACATGAAATTTGTATGGGCAGTGGGAGTGATAATTACATATTTGAACAAACAAAGCCCCTTTACATGGTGGTTCTCAGGAGACAGTGGAAGTAATAATTGCATATTGGACAACGAAAGCACAAGAGAATTTGCATTGTGGTTACTAGAAAATAGAGTAACAATTGCATATTGGACAGAGAAAGCAAAGGGATTTGCCCTATTGTTTTCTTTCTTTAGAGTAAACGGGTAATTATCTAGTCCTCCTTCATGTTAATCAATTAATTTCCTGTGCTTTCCTTCACGAGATCAGCTGTTACTGACAGACTAAAAATAAGTTTGCAGTACTGATTACATTAAAACAACAGAATAGGATTGTTCCTTTTTTATGCTGATATAGGAAATGCGTAATTTTCCTAAGTGGAGTTTCCTAAAACAACAAAGTAGCATATGTTTAACAATGCTAGCAGCTGACCCGAGGAGTACTGTTATTTCTAGCTGATTTTCTTTGGAGTTTCGATCTTCATTAATTGTTCTGGCTTTTTAATTAAAAAAGTACATAACACTGTTGTTTTAGCATGTAAACTAGCGATGCACGAAAGCTAGAACAGATACCACATTGATCTAAAAAAATTAAAGCAGTGTAATGTGAACACGTTGAATTGTTAGTGTGAACAATTAAAGCATAAAGTGGCATCAAGTTTGCATATAGGACAATGAAAGCACAGGCAGAAAGTGACATAAAGTTGTAGCTTCCTGCCAAATTCTATTGCAATGACTTTAACAGCTAGTCTTCCACTAAGAGATCTCTCTCTCAGTATACCATTGATTTCCTAATATCCCTCACCAAATTTCTTAAACCTTTCTCTTGATCTTTGCTTCCTTCTCTGATTGAATCGAATCATCTCATATTGTGTTCTTGATCTGTATCTTTCTTGCTTGCAAGGTAAATCCTACTTTCTTTTCTTGTTTTTCTACCACTAATTTTGGTTTCAAATAAGACTTGCCCATTTGGTTGTAGAATTATTAAGTAGGATTGTAGATTGATCAATCAAGTAGAACTTAATTATATGTGTGTTGCTTGATCTATTTTAGAACTAGAACTCATATTTAGCTTTGTTCTTACATATTGCCATCAACTTAAACTATTTATCTTGAAAACAGCTGCTCTCAAGGTTTCTTTTGTCTGTTGAGTGCCTCTTGTCAGCTTGACAGGTGACTAGTTTGCCTACTCTCTCTCATATTCTTGTGCTTACATTTTCAGATCAGCTTTCCCAGAGTTTCAACATTGGGGCGCGTCCACACGTTTCCTCACTCAGCAATTGGCTTCAGATTCTTTTGTTAAAATTCTTTTGAATCCAGGTAAAGTATTTATACTTCATCTTCTTCATTTGGTTGCTGTCTTTGTTTTTGAATCTTTTTTAGGAAACCGCGAGCTGTTCAAATCTTATTGAGAAACTTTTAAAATCCTTGCCTTCTAGAGTTCATACCAAATTCATTGTTAATATTACTGGTTTTGATTCTTCCAAATAAAAGTATGAGTTTGAGTTCTATGCAATATAGAACTCAAACTCATTTTATAACTTTGTTCATTTTGCTTTCAACTTCAACTGCTTATCTTCAAAAAAAGCCGAGTTTCTTCCAAATTTTTATCTTAGATTGCTTTTCTGACAATTATTTAAATTATTCAGTAGTTGTTATAATTTTTTTATCTGCTTGAAGTGCATCTCCATAGGAAAATATATAGTTAAGTGCCTATTTAATTTTAAACATCTGTGATTTTGAACAGGTGTTGGAGGAGAATCTTGACTGGGAGGATGTGCACTGGTCATAAACTGGTGTTTGGATTGCTGGAAAAGAACACGCACTTGCTAGGGTGTGCTTTCTATCTCCAGGTTAGCTATGGCTTCATGAGTATCTACAAATAGTTGTGTAACAATGTGATGTATGCAGGAATAATAGTTGGTTTTTAATGGTTTTATTTCTTAAATAAGTCAAACAATTGAAGTTAAATCTCTTTTCTTTTCAGTTTATAAAAAATCGACTGGACTACTCTCCGTACCAGAGTATTTGAGCAACCAAAACAGAAGCACTGGAACTTTGAATATTGGGAAATCTGGCATTTCTTCCATGTATATAAATCCATTACAAGCAATCTATTGACAAAAGGGAAAGCATCTTTCTGCAATTTCTATTTCGATTGAACACCATAATCTCTTGGCAGCAGGATGGATGAAAAATAAATTATCTGTATCCATGCTCTCCTGCCTGCTTGGAACACCATTAAAAAACTAGCAAGAATAATGAAATTCAACACAAGCTGATGATCCCAGTTCTTTGCCAAAAGCAAATAGTAACAGCAAAGTCAGGGTCGGTTAAACCATCTAGCTAGAATTCGTGTGTTGAAATACAAAAAACTATCAGGGAAACGGGAGATCACGGAGACTAAATCTTGATTAGAACATTCCAACCCTCACATCAATTCGGTTAGATTAAATGATAATACAAGCTTACACAATCCCACAACGCAAGTCTACTCAATCACTGCTTTAATTTGCCAATAATCTCAAAGCACGAAACCATAACAAAAATGGTGAATGACCAATTAAGATTTAAAGATTTGATCTTATTTTAGCTTTTACAAGAACGAGATCTCATATAACAACTGACATTGATCATCTTAGTATTTTTTTCACTCCGTAGAGCTGGTGCAAAAGCCAAAGGATAACTGTGCCAGAGGGGGAGAACCCACTCTTACAAGCATGTAGTTCCGACTCCATGTCAAAACTTACGATCCATGCTAGCTGCTGGCCCGAGCCCCTCTTACAAGCATATATTTCTGGCTAATTGATTTTCTTAGGAGTTTCTATCTTCATCTATTGTTCTCGCGGACTAAAAAATAAAGCATATGTTCGATGTAACAGTAGAATCAGTATAATGTACGTAAACATGTTGAATAGTTAGTGTGAATAAATAAAGCAGGTGATTCATGAAAGTGACATGAAATTTGTATGGGCAGTGGGAGTGATAATTACATATTTGAACAAACAAAGCCCCTTTACATGGTGGTTCTCAGGAGACAGTGGAAGTAATAATTGCATATTGGACAACGAAAGCACAAGAGAATTTGCATTGTGGTTACTAGAAAATAGAGTAACAATTGCATATTGGACAGAGAAAGCAAAGGGATTTGCCCTATTGTTTTCTTTCTTTAGAGTAAACGGGTAATTATCTAGTCCTCCTTCATGTTAATCAATTAATTTCCTGTGCTTTCCTTCACGAGATCAGCTGTTACTGACAGACTAAAAATAAGTTTGCAGTACTGATTACATTAAAACAACAGAATAGGATTGTTCCTTTTTTATGCTGATATAGGAAATGCGTAATTTTCCTAAGTGGAGTTTCCTAAAACAACAAAGTAGCATATGTTTAACAATGCTAGCAGCTGACCCGAGGAGTACTGTTATTTCTAGCTGATTTTCTTTGGAGTTTCGATCTTCATTAATTGTTCTGGCTTTTTAATTAAAAAAGTACATAACACTGTTGTTTTAGCATGTAAACTAGCGATGCACGAAAGCTAGAACAGATACCACATTGATCTAAAAAAATTAAAGCAGTGTAATGTGAACACGTTGAATTGTTAGTGTGAACAATTAAAGCATAAAGTGGCATGAAGTTTGCATATAGGAGGACAATGAAAGCACAGGCAGAAAGTGATCAAGTTTGCATATAGGACAATGAAAGCACAGGCAGAAAGTGATAAGAGAGATCTCTCAGTATACCATTGATTTCCTAATTTCCCTCACCAAATTTCTTAAACCTTTCTCATGATCTGTGGTTCCTTTTTCTGATTGAATCGAATCATCGCGTATTCTGTTCTTGATCTGTATCTTTCTTGCTTGAAAGGTAAATCCTACTTTCTTTTCTTGTTTTTCTACCACTAATTTTGTTTCAAATAAGATTTGCCCATTTGGTTGTAGAATTAATAAGTAGGATTGTAGATTGATCAATCACGTAGAACTTAATTATATATGTGTTGCTTGATCTATTTTAGAACTCAGAACTCATATTTAGCTTTGTTCTTACATATTGCCACCAACTTAAACTATTTATCTTGAAAACAGCTGCTCTCAAGGTTTCTTTTGTCTGTTGAGTGCTTCTTGTCAGCTTGACAGGTGACTAGTTTGCCTACTCTTTCTCATATTCTTGCGCTCACATTTTCAGATCAGCTTTCCCAGAGTTTCAACATTGGGGCGCGTCCACACGTTTCCCCACTCAGCAATTAGCTTCAGATTCTTTTGTTAAAATTCTTTTGAATCCAGGTAAAGTATTTATATGTCACGACCCGAATCTTCTTCATTTTGTTGCTGTTTTTGTTTTTGACAAGTAACTATTGCTTGAATCTTTCTAAGTAAAACACAAGTTGTACAAATTTTATTGGGAAACTTTGGATTTTGTATCATTAATAGTTTCCAAATATAAATAAATTGATCTTTCGTAGTTTTTATAAATAAATTGCCTTATGGAGTTCATACCAAATTCATTTTTTTCTTTTTATATTATTTGCTGTTTTTAACTTATTATTTTAGTTTCAACCTTTCCTTTTCCGATTGATGCAACTTACATTAATTTTATTCAATATTTTGACTCTGTTTTTATATGTAGGGCAAAATGGTTCAATCAAAGGACCCATTTTGGCACTATGTTGAGGAGATGAAGTGTATTTATTGTGGGCATCAATTTGCTAGGGGTACTTCCATTTCAAGGATCAAATGGCATTTATCAGGAGAGAAACGGCAAGGTGTTGAAATTTGTGACAAAGTGACCGAAGACGTTCAAGAAGCAGCTTTTCTAGCTATGCATGGTGCCAACAAAAGACATAAAAGCATAGCAAGTTCAAGCAATGTTAATGATAATGCCATTTCAACCGCTCCACAAGAACAAAACAATAATGAAGTCGACAATTTGGCAGGAGATGCAGGAACGACACAAGCAGCAGATAGAATGGATCACGCACTTGAAATACGTATGGAAGAGCTCAGAAAATTGTTAATGGAGGATAATACAGAGAATGGGACTGGAGGAGTAGCTCAGTCTGGTGCAGGAGCGTAATGGCGATGAGAATGGGACTGGAGGAGCAGCGCAGCCTGGTGCAGGAGCTAGCTCTTCTGGAGGGCTTACAGGCAACACAAATGAGACTCCAGGAGATCCATTACCTACTAGCTTACATGTTGAAGTCGACAATGTGGCACCACAAGGGCAACATCTGGAGAGAGTAACTGGGCAGCCTGTTGTAAGAGGTAGTTCTCATGAGAGGCCACTTGTTAATCACGATGAGCCTCAAGAAGATCAACTCTGTCCTCCACTAGTGAACATGGTTGGAGACCCTGGGCAGCCTGTTGTGAGAGATAGCTCTCGTGAAGTTCTTCAACGTAATGGCGATGAGAATGGGACTGGAGGAGCAGCGCAGCCTGGTGCAGGAGCTAGCTCTTCTGGAGGGCTTACAGGCAACACAAATGAGACTCCAGGAGATCCATTACCTACTAGCTCTACAAAGCTAGTGGGTCAAGCATTTGAACAGAATACAAATCTGATATGGTCTTGGTTAATGGATGATGAAGTCTCGACAATTGGCATTTACGGAATGGGAGGAGTCGGTAAAACGACAATGATGAAACATATCCATAATAAGCTTCTAGAAAGACCAGGCATTTCTCATTGCGTGTACTGGGTGACTGTGTCTCAGGATTTCAGTATTGGAAGATTGCAAAATCATATTGCTAAATGTCTTGGCTTGGATCTTTCAAACGAACATGATGATCTGTGTAGAGCTGTCAAATTGTTAAAAGCACTAAGGAAGAAACAAAAATGGATTCTCATTTTAGATGATTTGTGGAACACTTTTGAGTTACACGAAGTGGGAATTCCTGAGCCAGTCGATCTAAAATGTTGCAAGCTGATTATGACAAGTCGATCTAAAAGGGTTTGTCAATGGGTGGATAGACGACGCGAAATCGAAGTGAAGCCACTTTTGAAGAGTGAAGCTTGGAATTTGTTCAGGGAGAAACTTGGACATGACATAACACTTTCTCCGGAAGTGGAACGAATTGCAATGGATATTGCAAGGGAATGTGCTGGTTTGCCATTGGGTATTATTACAATGGCAGGAAGCTTGAGGAGAGTGGATGACCTACATGAGTGGAGGAATACATTGAAGAAATTAAAAGAATCAAAATGTAGGGACATGAAAGATAAGGTATTCCGGTTATTGAGGTTTAGTTATGACCAGTTACATGATTTAGCACTACAACAGTGTCTCTTATACTGTGCATTATTTCCTGAAGATCATGAGATTGTAAGGAAGGAGTTGATAGATTATTTGATCGATGAGGGGGTAATTGAAAGAATGGAGAGCAGGCAAGAAGCGGTTGACGAGGGCCACAGATATTGATCAAGCTGTCCTTCAATGGAGTGTTCTTGTTAAAGGAAAATTCCAGCGTCAATCGATCATCATGGTGTCCGATGGAATTTTATGGAGAATTTGTCCTACTAGAAATAAATTGATATTTGATGATGAGATGCCGGATTGAAATATAGTTTTTCATTTGATTCTTCATCATCTAGCTAGCTTTATAGTAGAAGACTGGGGATGATAATTTTAAGTACTCAAGAACGAATTTATGTAGACAAATTATAAACACTTCGATCTTATTAGTCCTAAAATCAGATTCAAATAAGAGCTTTCACAATCCAAAAACAAGGCTTATCAGTTTACTTCAATCAAACAAACTTGATGTCAAAAAGGATTAAGGAACATGCAAAAATGGGAAATATAGAATCTGATATCTGGAAATGTTACAATTGTCCAAATAATCTCAAATACTCATTAAAGAACAAGAAAACACCAGCAAAATTGTTTGGATGTGAACAAGAAACGGAGAATACATGGTAGACTTATATAGATGTTGACGAAAAGCGTTGTACCACATCTCTTCTTTGATCTCTTGGTATTGGTTCAACAATTAGTCATTCAGCTAATATAATCAAAATCACCCTATATTTGGTTGTCTTATTTATACTCATGTTAAGAAAAATCAACTAAAATCGAGAGCATGAAAATACATATTCTTATGCTATGCATCTAGGTTAAGGGATATCATTTATTGACCAGTCTTCTATGTTTTCCAAAGTAAAAAACATTGACTAGTGTAAAATGCTAAGATACTAGCAAGCTCGTTGACTAGTGTGAATGTTGAGATACTAGCAAGCAAATGGAGGTCGAGGCTAAAGTTTCACAAACAGTGCAAGATGTTTCAGCTGAGCCTGTTAAGAAAGTTGTGCATGATAGTGTTGATAAAAATACACTTGAAAAATAACATTACAGTATTGCAATAAAAAAAATAAAGAAGATAAATAAAAGCACCAGTTAAAGTATAATTATGCTAATTTAATTAAATTTGCCTTGAATTGATTATCAATAGCTTTGACAAAATCCGCTAAAAGGAGTCCTTAAAACAAAAAATGTACTGCCATTTTTTTTTCTAGTTAAAAGAAAATACCATTAAATTTTGAAATCACCACACATATATAATAATAAAATGACACATCTAGAATTAAGTTTGTCATCAGCAAAGTTTGTCCTGATTTCATCCTCTTCTTCTTCTTTAGCTTTGTAGATACAAATAAACATTGAATTAAAAATTAATTTTAAAATAATTTTTTAAAAAATTGCAGTCGAGTAGTTGAAGATAACAGCAAAATGAACGAAACTATAATATGAGTTGAGTTTATTCATTAAGCAACATAAATAAATAAGTTCTACTTGATCAATATAGAATCCTGCCTACAAATTTTACAACTTGATCATTGATTTTAATACAACCAAAGAGCATTATGATTAAATAAAATTAGTGGGTAAACTATAAGGAAAAAAGAGAGGAGGAGGATAGAAAGTAAGATTTACCATGACTAGAGAGCACTCATCCAGTATTTGGATAGCCATGTCTCTAAGCAAGTCATGCATCTTAACAGCACTACCACCATCAATTCTTTTCAATAAATTGACATTTTCTAGTCTATCAAGAATTGAGTGGCCCTTGTCGAGTGTTGCTTATCTGTTTATCTCTTTAATTATCCCCTCCTCAATAAACGATTCTATCAACACCTCCCTTTTAATCTTATGACGTTCATCAAATAATGCACAATATACAAAACATTGTTGTGCTGAATTATCTAAACAATCATAACTCAATCTTAATATCTGGAACATCTGATCTTCCATGTCCCAAAAATTTGATTCTTTCAATCTCTTCAATGTAATCCTCCACTCATGTAGGTCATCCACTCCCTTCAAACTTTCTGCTAATGTAACAATTCCCAAGGGCAAACCAGCACATTCCCTTGCAACATCTGCAGCAATTCGTTCTATTTCTGGAGAAAGTGGTTTGTCATGTCCAAGTTTCTCCATGAACAAAGTCCAGGATTCTTCATCAGAAAGAGTATCCACTCTTATATTGTTTTGGCTATTCATCTGCCGACAAACCATTTCTGATCGAGTTGTCATAATGAGCTTGGATCCTTTCAATGGGATAGGAATCCCCACTTCTTGTGGCTCAAAAGAGTTCCACAAATCATCTAAAATGAGAATCCATTTTTGTTTCTTCGCTAGTTCTTTTGCTAACTTGACAACTCTAGACAGATTATCGTCTTTGCTTGAAAGATCTAATTTAAGATATTTAGCAATAAGATCTTGCAATTCTTCAATCTTGAAACCTTGAGGCACATTCACCCAGTAAACACCATGAGAAATATCTCGTTTTTCTAGAAGTTCATTACAGATATGCTGCAGCATTGTTGTTTTACCAACTCCTCCCATTCCGTAAATACCAATGATTGAGACTTCATCATCCATTAACCAAGACCGTATCACCTTCATGTCCTGTTCAAATGCTCGACCCACTAGCTTTGTAGAGCTGGCACTTGTGCCGGGCTGCACTAATCTTCCACTACTGTTCTCCATTAATCTAGCTCGTTCTGTGGGAAGTAAAATAGGTTTAGGATCAGTTTAGCTTGAACTCCATAAAGCATGGATTATATAAACCAAGAAAGACCAAATTGATTGAAACTATTAATGATCCTAATTCCAAAGATTCAAACAATAGTTCCATGTGAAAAACAAGATGGTAAGATAAAAAAAAATAAAAATAAAAATAAAAAACAAGAAAAGAAAGTAGAATATACCTTCCAAGCAAGCAAGAACGATGTTGAACTCCAGATGAGATGATTCGATTCAATCAGAAAACGAAGCACAGATCATGAGAAAGGTTTAAGAAATTTGGTGAGGGAAATTGGGAAGAACTTCTGCTTGTTGAAGTTGGTTGCTAAGGGATTCTTAATTTTGGATACGCTTTGACGTTTTGATCAAGAGAAAGGGGAGGAGAGATAGGAATTAATAATGAGACTACGATATTTATATAGGAAGTTTTTTATTTAAGGGTAGTTAAAGCAGCTAATTTAGGAAGTTATTTATTTAAGGGAACTAATTAAAGCAGGAAGTTATTGTTTTGCTAACCATGACTTCCTAAATTGATTTTCGCTGGAGTTTCCTGTTATTTCTGGCCAAGTGATTTTCCTTGGAGTTTCGATCTTCATTAATTGTTCTGGCTTTTTAATTAAAAAAGCCAGGACGTAGTTAACTGCGGTAAGAACGGAGGAAGACGGTGATCAAAGAATACCTTGCTCTGATACCAAGATAAAATTCTGTTCTGTGTTTTCTATATTATTCAGCACTTCTCAATGGTGGCTACCTGATAAGTCTGACAAGCATGGTAATCCCGAAACTTAAGGATGCTCCTATTATTAAGGACTATAACAAATAATATACTATTCCATTCTGCACACGTAACAACCAGGAAAGAGATACAAAGGAAATAGACGTCTAACAGATCCTTAGTTTTCATTTCTTTTGCAGGTATCTCTTTCTTGTGATATGTTCTTGATGTACGAGAAACATGCTGCTACCTTTGTTTGGAGTGCAAGACGTGGTAATGATTCTGCTAGGATGTGTTTAACAAACTCTACTTTCACTCTGCATGGTCAGACTTCTTGCCTAAGTGCTGTCCAGACTTTGAAGCACCTGCTGTTCAACTTGATTGTTTCGAGCAGGGATGGACTCGTATATTCTGTCTTTTTATTTTTTTTGTCAGTTCTGTGTCACTCTGGCTGAGTGTTGATTGTAACCTCCTTCATGATCTTAATTATCACTGTGTTAATCATCATTTTGTTCATTTATCCTCTAAAAAAGACAGTTACCTCTCTCTGATGAAGCAACTTGTTGGGTTGAACTCAGCTCTGTATCTCCCACTTGATTTAGTATCTCAAGCCTGTGGGAAATGAGATGTAATCTACGAGTAAAAGAGAGAAGCATGATTTCTGAATGTTGAATTCTACTAGAGTTTTTGTCCAGGATTATGCCTTACACAATCCAGATAACTGATGGATGAAATCATCTGAATGGCCAAACAGATCCATCAGCAAAACTCATGAAGTCGTCGGTGCAATGGGATATTTTTGCATCTAGAATGAAAAGGGAGTAACCCTTTGAATATCAGCGTTGTTAATCATACAAGAAAGGACCTCCATAGCGATCACAAATAAGCATGGAGACAATGGATCTCCTTATGGCATGTTATATTTTTGTATGATTTCGCTGTTAATCATACGATGTTAATTTGGCGTGTATATGGATAAAAAAGTGAAGAGGAAGACAAAAATATAGTATTGCTTGGAGGGTAGATTTCAAACCTCACTGATTAACCCTCCACGGCTCCACCAATTAAAAATCCAAGCGAACATGTTCGAATGGCTCTTGTACCAAACATTACCTTTCAAGATTGCGTGAACATTTGGAGGATTTAGACTTTAGACACCATGAAGAGAAAAGTAAAGTGCAGTCACAGAGAGAGAGAGAGGAGGGGAGGGGGGGGGGGGCCATGATTTTTAGAGA